GAGGTCATGAGTTCAATTCCCAGTACCGGAAAAAAACAAAAAAACAAAAACAAAAAAATGTAAATGACAAACATTTGAACTTATTTGCTTTTCTATTTGGTAAGACTTGCATATTACAATCACTGAATTTTAGGGTTATTTACATTGTGTACAAGAAACCTATAGATTTTTAAAAGTTTTAATTAACAGTAAGTAAATTTTAGATGTCTTGGAGTGAGAAGGGATAGCAAGAAAACTAAGTTCAGGTTGAACCTCTGTATTGTTCAGTTAACGTACTGTTACACTATGCCTGGAATTTAAAAAGGCCTGAAAGTTAAGAACTACTTAAGTTTAGATTTATATGGAAGTTTTAGAGTATGCATCAATGAATAATCCCAGCAGGTGACACAATAAAGGTGATATATTCTGCTTGATTCTATGTACATAGATTATTAACTTCAGAAACTAGAGAAATCAACTATATTTACCAGTGTCAAGTTTATTAAGGAAGTGGGTGCTTAAAAGGTCAACATGAAATTTTTATAAATCATGCAGAAAAGAAAAACTATTATTATAGGCCATTTTTAAATACTACTTCCTTTTCCTATATTATGAGTATATTTTTCAGACACTAAACCAAACACAATTCTGTCCCACTAAGGTGAATCCATATGTAGATTAGTAAATGGCAATATATGCAAAATGTGATTATAATGAACTAATATTTTGTTATAAAGCAGAAAAGGAGGTTTATTTTAAAGAAAAATGACACTAGATGTTACAGTTAATCTTTAAAAGGCTTCATGATATTGAAAATATGAGGCCTGCCCCTTTCAACTTGAAGGTCAATTCACAGCTGCACCTGTACTTGAGCGATTCAAGCACAAAGAGCTGAATGACTTGCCTTTTCCTTTATTTTGTTTTGGGATTAACTCAGAAGCAACCCAGTAGACATGTTGCTTTTTGTCTCCCCCACTACAATTGGGGAAGATCTAGGAGCCTGTGTTTCTCCCTTGGACTTGGGCTTTGTTGGCCTGAGTTTTGTCTTCATGCATTTCTAAACAAGGCTGACAGCAAGTTAAGTCTGGAAAGTGGTTGAAAGGAAAGACTCCTTACAAAGTAAATGCTGAATTAGTCAGGATATTTGAAGTCATTCTTTCTTCAAACACATACTCTTTGTTTAGCTCCTTTGTTTAGGGAATAAAATCTAATCACTGATGATAAATCAGCCAATACAGACTTTAACTGTGCCTCAGAGGCAATTTACTGAAGCTTTCCTATAGCCCAGGATTCCCTCCAAGCTGGATCCATTCCTTACAAAACCAGTTCTGTGGCTGACTACTTGAATTTGCTTTTAGAAATAATTACAATTATTCCTACCAATAAAAATATCTTCACCTTACCCAGAGATGATTTCCCTGGCAGAAGCAATTATCAGAGCAGCAAATATTGAATTTCAAACTTCAAAAAGTACAAAAGTCACTGTAAAGCCCATTGTCGTGATAGAAAAAAATACTACCTAAGTTTCAAGAAATTTCTCTTGTACCACAAGCTAACAAGAAGCTTTAGGAAAACATCTTTTAGGGACTGATATTCTTCAGTTACAGATAAAGACAATTATCCTAAAGAATATCCCTGAGGAGCTGATAAAAAAAAAAAAGTACATCTGACTTAGTACCACTGACTCTTCTGTAAGGCCTTTTCCCTGGGACAGAGAAGTAGAGACCCCACAGGACAACACATTCTTTAAATATGAATACATAATACAACAAGCATCATTAATTTCCTGCCACTTTGTCTGTAACTCTGTATTGCTTATATTGTTCTTATGCTATTTTGTAAATGGATGTCTGTTTGTTAATATGTTTTCCTTAGCCACTTTGAAGATATCAATATGTAATACAACCACCATTGTTAATACCCTACCACTTTGTTTGTAACTCTGTATTGTCTGTATTGTGCTTGTGATATGTTGTAAAATGTTGTATGTCTGTTAATGTTTCCCTCCTTTTATCCTTAAAATTAAAAAAAAAAAAAAATGTTTTCCTTCTTTTATTTTTAAAATAAATTAAAAATAAATAAATAAATAAATATGATGACCTCAGTCCTGAACCCAACATTCCAACCACTGGAGGGAAAGAGAACAAAACATGGATGTTGACATAAATAATTTTCAAAATGAGGCTGATCCTCTTGTTTATTTCACTGTTCCTGAAGATGGAAATTATTTGTGAGCGCAGATACCAAACATGAAACTTCCTTAGGAAACTTCTAATGATCATAATCACAACCAAAGGTTCAGAGCTGTGTTTTCTCTAACGAATTTTAAAAATCTGGAAATACATAAGCTTCTTCTAAAACAGGAATTCTAATGTCCTTGAGAGATAGCAGTTGTCTAATAGTTGATTCTTTTAAATTGCACACAATATTTCTTATGAAGAATCACAATACATTCTCCACACTAAGCCTTAATGGTGGATATCACTATGATAGCAGGATTTTCAAACCTTGTTTCTGAGCACCCCTTCACTTGCCAGTCATACCTGAAGATCATAAATGTGCCTTCCTGTAGCCTTCTTAAGAAATCTCTCATTTTTATTAGTAGGTTCCCCAAAAAGCCCAAAAGGCTTTTTATCATGAACTTGGAAAAATATTGGAGCTTTAAAAAGGCACTGAGTCAAACATCTCAGCTTTCAGAACAAGAAAAAAATACCTTTTAGCCACATAAGATTTTGTTACAGTGGCTGGCATACGGCAGATATAAGCTCTGAACGATATATCAAGAGATATAATCTTTTACAAGTGGAAAAGGAAACAAGAGATGGAGAGGAGGATGTGGAGGAAAAGGGGAAGTAATAAGAATGACGGTGCCTTACGCACATGGACCAACTCCCTATGATGACTGCACTCATTAAGGATGCAAACATGTACTAATAAAAAAGAGTAAATCATAATAATTTAAGTACTTTCCTGAAAAACATTAAATGTGCCAATTAATGGATACACATCCTCACAAAAGAAATTACTATTTAAATAAAATAAAATTTATCTATAGAATCTGATTCTCTGTCTATAAGTCAGATAATATCCTTGGTGGCAATGATTTATTGGTCAAGGAAGATTATACTATATCTTTTGACAAAGTCAGCTTGAACACTGCTAAAATGTGTGCAGTCTCCTAAGGATTTCACCATATACTTCTGCATTGGTTTGGCAGTTATGTTTTGCAAGGGAGAACAATATAATAAAGGACACATATTTTATAAGATTATTTATACTAGTCACCCAAAGAATCATACACAAGAGAGTGCAGGAAATCTGTCCACATACTATATACTAAGAAACCAGCTGAGGGCCTGGATCCCATGATAATGTCCTGCATGAGTCCAGCTGAAGACCTAGATCCCATAACAATGCTTCCCACTAATTCAACTAGAGGACCACAGCCTATGACAACATCATATGCAGGCCTTTTTCACAGATCTGCACTGGGAAGGCCTAAGGGTAAGTGGTGGAATCTAGAATGTTTGTACCAACAGAATGAAGGATCTGTGCTAGCAGGCTGAGGGATCTGTACTGGAGCCAGGCAACATGTGCAAGTAAGAACCAGAGCTCCCCTTAAAGGTTTCACAGCCATCCTCAGCAACAGTGAGGTCCCGAGCTCCTTCAACGATCAAAATAGCTGAGTTCCTATCAGGAAAGCCAATGAATCAAGCTTCTTCAGGAGACTGAGCTGTGTACCTTCTTCTCCTCAGAGCCAGGAAGCAATGCTCAAAATGAGGACCAGAGCTCCCCCAAAGTGAACTGAAGCTATTCTCAGTGCCAACAAGGTCCCGAGCTCCTCGGAGGATGAAAACAGCCAAGTTCATCAGGAAAACCTGCATGGAAAACTCCTCCAAGAGAATCAACATCTCCTTACAGCTTCTACCAGCTCCCAACAGCCTTCCTCAGCTCCCAACAGCCTCTCAGCTCCCAATAGCCTTTTTCAGTTTCCACATCAATGTTATGGGTTGTGACTGGATGTCCCCACAAAGCCTCATGCAGTCATAGGGCAGGCTTTTAGAGTTTATGATTGATCCATAGTCCAATGCTGGGATTACGGGTGGGAGTGCTACACCCACCCTGGGGTGGATAGTTCGCATACAATATAAGGGAGGGAAAGAGGCTTGCTCTTGGCTGATTCTCCCTTTTCGCTCTCATTGTTTTGCTGTCTTCTCTGCCATATGCCACTCTGCCTTGGAGCCAGCCAAGTATGGACTGAAACCTCCGCAAACTGTGAGCTAAATAAACCTTTCCTTCCTTAATTCTGGATGTCAGGTATTTTGTCTCAGCAATGAGAGAAAAGCAACCAACACAACTTCTGATGGACACTCTCATGGACAACACACTCACTCTGAAGTGACTCTTATCAGTCCAGTAACTGATGCCTTATTATTCCTAGTGAAAACATGAGACCTCCCTCTCTCCCTCCCTCCCTCCCTCTCTCTCTTCTCTCTCTCTCTCTCTCTCTCTCTGAAAAAAAGAACTGAAATTATGCTACTTCATTACCTTCCTCAGCTACACTCCCTGCCAAAACTGCCATTAATTTTTTTGGACAGATAAGTACCATAAGCCTCAAGGGAAGGTGGCTTCATGACAAAAAGTCCCTGTTACTCTCCTGGAAGATAAGTGACCTTAAGGTGATGCTAATAATAATCCATCCCTTCTAGAGGTCCTATCACTGACACCAAGCCCACCAAGTACCTAGCAGGCTCAGCTCTGTCTGCTTCAATTTCTGCTCCGAAGGTGCAGCTCTGTAAACAGAGACACAGTCAATCCTAAATTCCCACAAATGAAATATTTGGTGTGAGTTTTTGTTTTGTAATCATGGAAGACTCTAGTTTCTTTCCATCTAACCCCAGTTCTCCTGCAAGTAGTTGTCCAATCACAGCCATGAAACTACCCCAGCACAGCAGCAGCCCTGCCCTGGGGCTGATGCAACAATCCCCATGATGACCAATACCCCTGTCACAGGGATAAGCACTGCTGTCCTGGCCAGAGGTGCCACTAAGCCAGAAGAAAGACCCAGGGGAGTGTACACTGCTGCTTGACCCATGGCTCAAGATGGACTGCCAAAAATGTATTCACATCCTCCAACAGAAAGCAGTAAGATACCAGCTGAGGCAACCGTTTTCTTTGGGGCTGACAACACTATTCCTAGATCAGAAACAACTATCACATCAGAAGGAGATCACGTTACTTCAGCAAATGATTGTATGCTAGAAAGTGATTTTTCACCAACTACAGGCAATAAGACTGCATCTACAAAGGAAAAACAAAAATCAGAAGATGAAGTTGAGACCCACATTAAGTCAACAGCTCCTCTGGAGAGAGAAATGACCACTCCCACTGGCGCTACAAACTCCACAGCTAAGGAGTATAATGCTGAAAGTTTCATTCCAGTGAACATTGGCAAGATTTCATCCCCAGTTGCTACTGTTTCGTTAATAGATTTCTCCACTATAGCAAAAGAAGATATCCTGTTGGCTACCGCTGATGGTGGGGCCAAAGACCCCACAAAGCCAGCTGAAGGCTCCGGCACCCTGGCAGAGAGCACTGGCAGCCCTGTTTCTGCAGCTGAGAAAGGGGAGACTGATGTTAACAACTGTAGTTCCTCCCTCAAACCCGCTGACTCCTTCATTCCTGAGGATGAAGTCGCCCCCTCCACTGAAGACGACTTCCCCACGATTCCCGACATAACAGCCCTCGCAGAAGAGAAGATAACTGAAGTTGACCTCATAGCCTCCCAGGACGACCCCAAGGCTGTGGTTACCCCAAGTGACACTGATGAGGAGAAGCTCATCACTGTGTTTGAACTGACCACCTCTGCTGAGAAAGACAAAGGTGACCTGGAAGAGACTCTAAGCGATGAGGAGGCCACCGACGAAGTCAGCGCTTGGATGCAGGAACACACAATAAAGGAAGCAGAGAGCAATTCTGTTTTGCTTACCGCCGCTGAGTCCAGGTATGACTTTAGTGTCCCTTTGTCGGCAGCTGTGAAGGTCACAGAAGAGTCAACTGCTGACACCACAGAAGATTTGCCTGAAAACAATACAACAGAATCTGTGCCCGAGGACACCGAGCTGCTTTCCGACCCTCCAAACTACGAAGAAGACACCTCCACAGCCGAGACGGGCATCTTTAAACTATTGAAAGAAGACCCAGACGAGCTCATGATGTGAAAGCAGGAAAAGGGGCCACACGCAGAGCTGCACAGTAACCTGGAAGCCAGTTCACACCTGCAAGAAGGCTTTTCAGCCAGCAAAACCTTTCAAGAATGTAGCCATTAAGGCAAGTATTAGACTTAGCAAGTTCAGATGCATATGATCAGGGGTCCTATAGCAGAATGTATCTTGCAGACGTTTTAAACACCAGCTGCATAAGAGCTTCCCCAGTGTCGTGAAAGTTTAGTGATCTAACAGTTACTTGTTTTAATGAAAATATCCGATACGGGAGACAGCACTGAAGGAGGCCACTTCCTGGAGTGATGTATGCCATTTTAGCTAAGCCTCAATGTTATATTTTAATGAGAATTAAGGATATAAAGGAAATCAAATTAACATCGTAAAATTATTGTAGTACTGAAAGATATCACAAACAATTTTCTTCAGTGGTGTCCCACCAGTGAGTCTCTTCTATTTAAAAAACATATTTGCAAATCTCACTATATAAAAATTAAACCTGTTTAGTAACTGTTTAATATTCACGTGTAAGAAACAAGATAGGGCTCTGGTCTTATACTGAATGAAATTAAAACAGTGACATTTCACAAATGTGTTCAGTTGTGTGTGAAATACCTTTAGTATAAAAATCAATTTAATATTCTTTATGTTAATATCCATATCCTGAATTTTTGTCATTTTTTCAGGTCCTAACACTGAATACTGTACTCATCTTATGTGCTTGGTTAGCAATTCGAGGTCATATATCTTCATTCTTTTTGGACACAGACTTGTTAAGTGGGTCTGTTTTCACTTCGCTGATTTCAATAAATCATTCGACAGCAGCTTATTCACTGTGTGCTGGTGTGTTTGATATTCTAGTACTTAACTCGTAAGATATAGGTAAATTAAAATTCACTTGGTACATGTGTGCGTACATAATGTTTACAGTCCTTATGTGGAGTTGGTTCATGTACAGAACACATCTTAATTCCTTTTTCATCCCTTTTCCCTCCTTTCCTTCTCCCCTCTACACATCTCTTAACCCCCCCCTTCCCTCTTTATGACCTTGTGGATTCCTTGTATGGCAGTGGTACGTGTACATAACATACCCAACTCCTTCTTTCAATCCCCTGTCCTTCCCCTCTCTCCCCCCGCTCCCTCTCTTGATCCCCTTCTCCTCTCGGAATGATCTCCCTACCTCCCATTATCTAGTTTTTATTTTGTTTTTAATTTTTAATCTGGATTTCTCATCTAAGAGAAACCAAGAGATGGTTCAACTTGTGTGTCTGATTTATCTCACTTGACATTATGATCTCAAGGAGCATCCACTGTCCAAATGACTCTAGTTCACTGCTCTGTATGGCGGAGTAGTGCTCCACCGTGTGTAAATATTACATTTTTTTGTCCATTCAGTTGTTGATGGACATATAAGCCACTTCCAATATTTACCTGTTATGAGTTAAATTTTTGTTCAAAGAAAAACTTAGCTCTAATAACCAAAAGTAGAATCATTCCATATTCATAATCTTATTATATTAAGAAAGAGAAAGGAAAAACCAAAACACTGGCTAAATAGTAAACATGCAAGAGAGGAGCAGTACAGAGATTTGTATCATTATATAGAATATGAACTAGAATAATGACAGCAGTGCATTGAAACTCAGAAACACATTATAACACAAAAATTTGATACAAGACAAAATGAACAACAAACCAAGGGATATCATAATTAATCTTGCTCAAACAAGCAAATATTTGGGAAAAATTAAGTTGGAGCACTATTTAAAACATTCCTGTAAAGTATTTATCCATGGGTCAATAAAACTATACAAAAATGGCTGTATATCTATCCAACAGATCTGAGAAATATAAACATATAAGAAAAACTCACTAATTTGATACCATCAATAATTAAAATTATATCCAAAAATAAATTTTTATTATACATGACAGTGAAAAGATTATATTATTGTTGATAGCCCCTACAGGCAAACATTTTACATGGGCAGTAGAGATAAACAAATAACTGATGGACAAATTATCAATCAACACATAAAAAATATCGAATTATCAAATTCAAGAAAATATAACTAAAGCTATTGCATACAGTTTAGCCATCTGGCAATTGGCAATGATCATTTAAAAATATTCATTACCTACTAATTTTCTAATCTTCCTCCAAATTTCTTCAACCTTTTTGTAAAACTGGAAGTCAATTAGGCCATATATATATAGATAGATAGATAGATAGATAGATATATTATTAGAGACATTTGATCTTAGCTATTCTACAGATTTTATCTCTTAAGAATTTTTTTTAAATCAGACATCATGAAATAGCTGTTATTGCACTTTTAATACAGATCAGAAATATTTAGATTTAGAATTGTATTCAACTTCATGCTAACCCTGGGAGGACATAATTATTTTAAAGTTGGTACTTGCCTGAAATTTGGTTGTCTATAAAAGACAAGGTTTTGAATATGCAATTCTTGAGATAATGGAATAGGCAGAGACTTGATTCTCAATTATAATAAACAGAAAGGAGCAACAGTCATACAGTGAATGTTCACCTGGAACACTCACATTTTATAGATTACCAAAGTGAACCAGAGAGACCTCACTGCACCAACATAACCACACTAGTGTGTGGCAAAGCACAGCTCTGCTGATCTGCACAACACCCAAGCCCAAGTTACCGGTCACACTGCTCTGTGTGGACAGTGAATCATTTTGTCTTAACACAGCTGCCCTTCTTTCTTCAACCCCACCCCTTGATCAGCCTCCCCACTCTCCTATAGCTGGTCCTCTCACTTCTGGTCTTGCACCCTACAAATTACACCTACCCCTCAGCACTCATTTCCTCTCTAGAGCCTTTTACTTGCTACCCTACCTCAATGTCACATCCCTTAGCAAGTCACACAATTCCCTACATCTTTTCCCCTACCTATAACCCACAGTGCATCTGTCCTGTCTTCACTCACTATGCTCTGTAGGAAGATTTAGCAACAAGACTGAAAAGAGACCACACTCAAAGAGCAAAAGAGCACCTAGCACATAGTATGCACTCAATAAACTGTTGTAAATGAATGCATGAAGAAGTAAATAATGGTTTTTTAATGCTAACATTAAAGTATTACTCATCTTCCTTCCAACTCTCTCCTGCTATAAATTGTGCTCCAGATTTTTCTGTACCACTGACCTTCCCCTTTCACACACACACACACACACACATGCACGCACATGCACATGCACATGTGTGATTTAAGTGAGATAGACTCCACTCTCAACTCCAACAATGAGCTAAACCCTCTGTGGCCAAGACGCCTTGACAGTCATTCAGGAGGAAGCACATCAGTCAGTCAGGGGAAGGAGGCTAAGGCATTTTGGGGTATAGGAGGTGTCTGGGAAATAAATACCTGAAAAGAACTTAGTCTGAAAGCACTTAGTGCCTGAAGTTGCCAACTCAAGATATCTTAAATCCCCCTGTCTTTCTTCACTGTGCTTAGCACCCCTTGCACTTTCAAACACAATCATTTGTCCACACTCACCTTTTCATGCACTACGTTTTCTAGCTACCTAAGCAGGGTGATCTGATTTTTATCCCACTATATACAGTCTGCAGTCACACCGCCTATATTACATAGGCAGATAGCAACTTAGGATGATTCTACTTATGATTTTTCTGCTTATGGTGGTGTGAAAAAATATGCACTGAATAGAAACCATACTTTAAATTTTGAATTTTAATCTTGTTTTATCCCCTTTCTCATTGCTGGGACAAACTACCTGACACTCCTAAAGTTGGGGAGGTTCATTTGGCTTGTAGTTGCAGGAAGCCAGTCCATGGTCGGCTGGCTCCAAGGCAGAAGCTCGCAGCAAAGGAGTACGGAGGAGCAAACCTGCTAAGTTCATGGCAGCTGGAAGCAGAATAAGAGACCCAAAAATCACACCCCCATGACCCACCAGACACACCCAGAGTGTGCTTTCCTGAAACCCTAGGCAGCTTCCATGCCCATCAAGTTGGCAGTTGAGCTTAATCACCATAGATCTTTGCCTAGCTGACGACATGCAGTGTGATACTCTCTCACAATGGATGGAGTGGCAGCAAATGACAAGTTCCACTCATCTACGCATTTCCAGGGGTGTACTCTCGTCACTGTGCTGCTAAGCTATGACTGCTCCAAAGATAGGTAGCATATGTATGTTAAATGTAGTCTTTGTGGTATTTTCAGTTTATGATGGAATGTAATTCTAACTTAAGGCAAGGAACATCTGTGTTGTGTTCTTTTTATAAAAGACACGTGTGTGACAAGACATTTCTATCTACAATGTATTAGACACCTTTGTTGTTGCTAAGAAACAATACCCAACACCTACAAAGAAAAAAGTTTCAAAAGAAAAGATTCTTTTTTTTTTCACATTGCTGAGACAAATTACCTGATACTCGGGGGCACTCGAGACCCACACGACTACAAAGAGATCAGAAAAACAATCAAACTATATCACAGTTTATCTGAGTCAGGCGTCACTGGAGAAAAGAACAAAGCGGGAAACACAGGCAGGAAGAGGCGTGGTCTGGAAACTGAGGTAAGAGTTGATGCTGGTGGTGCTAAGTCTGAGATCCACAGAGCAAGTCACAGTTCTGTTTTGTGGTCTTCAGGAACAGTTTGTTCTTTCTCAAGGTTTTTGGTATTTGTTTTAAAAGCCTTCAACTCCTTACAAGATATTTTCTCACATTATGGAGAGCAATCTATTGCTAGTCACACCCCCACAAAATCAATCAATCCATCAGTCCTACACTATAACATGTAGAATAGTAGTTGACCAAACAGTAGCCTTGGAAACATGGCACATAAAATTATGCAATTAATCACACACCATGAATAGAAATATACTTAAAATCTTACATACCTGGTGGCCTATGTTCTCTGAGCTAGTTTCACTGAAATGAATGAATCTACTAGTTGACAGAAACACACAAAAAACTTGTAGAATCTCATAGCTGATTCACTATAATAGTTACTCAGAAACTCTCTCAACAGAAGTTAAAATACTGAAAAGTACCTTGGTTGTAGGTAAAGTAAAAGTAGTAGAATCAAATATATCTAGTTTTAAATACTAGATCTTGAAACTATAAGAAAATCACTTATTTTATCAAATCAGTCTCTTCATATACAAAATACTATCTAGGTAAAAGCACGTGGGTCTGTATCTATGTCCCTATTTAGATTTTCAGTTGTTCTTATTCTAATTCACTGTCCTTAAAAAAGGTGTTAAAAAATAAATGATATGAATAAATTGAAAAGGAAACGTATCTAGTGCCCTCCAACTCACCTTTTGAATAAAGTCTAAAGGTTCTCCTCTGCTCTTTAATGTATGGCAGTGTGAATTAATGCCAAGCGGATATGCCGTTGTTAACAGCAAGCCTGAAAGAAGAGCATAATAAATGAGATTACAGCAGGCCTCCCATGGGATGTTTTCCTCTCTTTCTGATTATGAGCACTTTTGTGGCAACCAAGATTTATTGATGTCAAAACAAACGTCAAATCACAATGTTCATATTTTGTATTCTACAATAACTGGCTCATGTCTTGTGACAAAATCATCCAAAATTCTGTGTAATAAAGGATTATGAATCTGGTGATAAAAGACACATGGTAAAGGCGTAGAAATCATTTATCAATCAATTTTTTCTCATTTTTGTCAAGAAAAGAGCACAGTGTTTAAATTGATTTTTAAGCTGACTTCAGTACTGTTTGAGTTAATGTTATAATCATTAAAAATTCCAAAAATGAAGTATTTTACCTGAAAAAGCTAAAAATGAACATAAAAGAAGCTATAATCTTTGTATATTTTCTATTACTTCACAGCCCACGTTAGCACAAAACAGTAAATCATTTCACTGAAAAAAGCATAGTTAATCACGACAATATTCACTAGGCCTAGGCTTTGTACCAGCTGTAATAATTATCACTTGCCAGTAAAATGATAAGAAAATGTATCAGATAAAGGAAAGAAGTTGGCTCAAGCATTGCATTTAATTTATAAATGATAAACCATCCTTTTCTGATGCATACCTAATTAGGCATGAGGTTTCCAAGAAACATGGAAAGGACAAATGTCAGCTTTTGAGGATTATAAAACTTGTTTGTTTATGTTCCAGGAAATAGTTTGGATTAGCAGAAAAGAAAATGCTAAAATAATAGTAATAATTTTCTTAGCAAAATAAAAGTGATAAAAGAAAGGCTCTTCATAAGGCATGAATCCCCTGTGCTTGTCCTCCAAGCCTGTGGACCTCAGAAGCTGAGCAAGACCTGACTGCTAAACGTGCAGAAGGAGGACCCCTGGTATGGTGTGATTTTGAAATTTTCAATTTTCTTAAGCTGGGAGTGGAGCTCGGGATAGAGTGCTGGTTAAGTACGTGCAAGGTCCTAGATTCAATCCGTGGCATGGAGAAAAATTATTTAGATTTGGATATGTCTATTTTCTATTTAGCGGAAGGACTGAAAATCTCTAAATCTGCTTACATAGAATTCCACAGAGTTCTAAGAGACAAGAGTTTTAAATGCATGAGGAGAAAAAAAGAAATGTTTATCAAGTTCTCAGCTTATACATTTTATCCTACTTTCTCATAAAATGGGGATAATTTTAGCAAAAATGGCAATAAAAAGAGCTTGTCTGGAATCCCAGACACCTCTAAAGTGGTTATATATAAACATACATCTTAGTTTTATACTAAAATTAAAATGTTCTCAGGTGTAGAGTAGTCAGTTTTATTAAATTACACAAGAAATCATTGGGTTGCTTATTTTATTAGTTGATTATGTACATCCTTCTTACCACTTTTATTATAAAGGGAAGGCAAAGAAATATCAAAAAATGTCATATTTTGCCCAAGATAATGACCTTCCTGTGATGCAGAGGCACTTATGAATTTGGTTTGCTATTGTTATTCTTAGAACATTAAAGTCTGACCCCTTTATCAAATAAACAAATTGCTCACTCTATTTTTTAAAAATAGATAGACCTCTGATCTGCTTGGCAATAGGACCAAGATTTCCCAAAGGCAGCTTGATTTTTGTGACCACTCCTCAGCTGTCTTCCCTCAGAGCCTCGTACAGAGATGCCCAGGAGTAAACTGACCATTAAAATTAGTAATTCTTCATCAGTTATGTTGTTTTCATGATGTTTTTGATGTTTTAATTTAAAGATTAGAAATCTGTCAGCCACTTTTCTTTACAAAGAAAGAATTAGTTACGTGAATGTTAGCAAAAACTTATTTCTTGTTAAATGATTGCAAATTATTAACAAAGTATAATTTTATGACAGACTTCAGACAAGTACAGTTACAGAATTGAGGGGCTTTTGCATAATGAGAATCACAATAAAATAAAATTAAAACTTTAGCAGGAGCAACAAACTCTTAAAATAATAATACTGATGAAAAATTAATATAGATATTATATATATATATATATATATATATATATATATAAAGGTACAA